GTAGTAGTACTACTACTACTAGTAATAGTAGTAGTAGTAGTAGTAGTAGCAGCGGTAGTAGTAGTAGTAGTAGTAGTCGTAGTAGTCGTTGTAGTCGTAGTAGTGGTAGTAGTAGTAGTAGTAGTAGTAGTAGTCGTATCAGTAGTAGTAGTAGTAGTAGCCGGAGTAATAAAGTAGTGGTGGTAGTAGTAGTAGTAGTAGTGGGATTCGTATTAAGACAAGTAGTAGTAGTAGTAGTAGTAGTAGTAATAGTGGTAGTAGTAGTAGTAGTACCAGTAGTAGCAGTAATAGTCGTAGTCGTAGTCGTAGTCGTAGTCGTACTAGTAGTACTAGTCGCAGTAGTAGTAGTAATAGTGATAGTAATAGCAGTCGTAGTAGTCGTAGTAGTAGCAGTAGTAAGAGTAGTAGTAGTCGTCGTAGTTGCAGTAGTAGTAGTCGTCGTCGTAGTAGTAGCAGATGTGGTAGTGATAACAGTCCTACTCGGGGAAGTCGTAGTAATAGTAGCACCAGTAGTGGTAGAAGTAAAAGTTGTTCTAGTCGTAGTAGTAGTAGTAGCAGTAGTAGTAGTAGAAGTAGCTGTAGTCGTTGTAGTAGTAGTAGTAGTAATTGTAGTAGTACTAGTAGTAGTAGTAGTAGTAGTAGTAGTGGTAGTAGTAGTAGTAGTAGTAAGAGTAGTAGTAGTAGTACTAGTAGTAGTAGTAGTAGCAGTAGTAATAGTAGTAGTAGTAGTAGTAATAGTAGTAGTAAGAGTAAGAGTAGTAGTAGTAGTAGTAGTAGTAGTAACAGTAGTAGTAGTGGTGGTAGTAGTAGTAGTAACAGTAGTAGTAGCCGTTGTAGCACAAGTGGTAGTGGAAGTAGTAGTAGTTGGAGTAATACTAATAGTAGCAGTAGTAGCAAAACTAGTAGTAGTAGTCGTAGTAGTAGTGGTAGCCGTAGTCGTAGCAACAGTAGTAGTAGTCGTAGTAATAGTAAAAGTAGCAACAGCAGCGACAGCAGCAGCAGCAGTAGTAGTAATAAAAGTAAAAGTAGTAGTCGTAGTGGTAGTAGTAGTAGTCGTAGTAGTAGTCGCAGCCGGAGTCGTACTAATGCAAGTAGAAGTAGTAGTAGTAGGCCTAGTAGTAGTAGTAGTACTACTACTACTACTACTGATAATAGTAGTAGTAGTCGCCGTAGTAGTCGGAGTAGTAATAGTAAGAGTAGCACGAGTAGTAGTAGTAGTAGTAGTAGTAGTCGTAGTAGTAGTAGTAGTAGTAGTAGTCGTAGTAGTCGTAGTCGCGGTAATCAAAGTAGTAGCAGTAATCGTAGTAGTAGTCGCCGTAGTACTCGTACTAGTAGTAGTAGTAGTAGTAGTAGTCGTAGTACTGCTAGTAGTAGTCGTAGTGGCAGTAGTCGTGATGGCATTTGTAAAGCAGTAGTAGTCGCAGTAGTGATAGTAATATTAGTAGTAGTAACAGTAGACGCAAAAGTAGTAGAGGAAGTGGTAATAATCATAGCAGCAGTAGCAACAATACTAGAAGTAGTCGTGGTAGTAGTAGCCGAAATCGTAGCAACAGTGGTAGTAGTCGTAGTAATAGTAAAAGTAACAACAGCAGCGGCAGCAGCAGCAGCAGCAGTAGTAGTAGTGATAGAAATAGTGGTAGTAGTAGCCGTAGTCGTAGTAGTAGTAGTAGTAGTAGTAGTAGTAGTAGTAGTAGTAGTTGTAGTAGTACGACTACTATTACTAATACTAGTAAAAGTAAGTAGTAGTAGTAGCCGTAGTAGTTGTAGTAGTAGTAGTAGTGGTACTAGTAGTAGTAGTAGTAGTAGTAGTAGTAGTAGTAGAAAGAATAGTAATAGTAATCGTAGTAGTCGTAGTAGTCGTAGCACTAGTAGTAGTAGCAGTAGTAGTCGTAGTAGCAGTAGTACTAGTAGTATTAGTTGTAGTAGTTGTCGCAGTAGTAGTAGATGTGGTAGTAGTAATAGTCCTACTAAGGAGAATCGTAGTAGTAGTAGCAGCAGTAGTAGTCGTAGTAGTAGTCGTAGTAGTATTAGTAGTAGTAGTTATAGTCGTGATAGTAGTAGTCGTAGTAGTAGTAGAAATAGTAGAAGCAGTAGTAGTAGTAGTAGTAGTAGTAAAAGTAGTAGTAGTAGTAGTAGTACTAGTAGTAGTAGTAGTAGTAGTAGTAGTAGTAGTAGTAGTAGTCGTAATAGTAGTAATAGAGCAACCAACGTGAAACGGCAAGCGATTGAACGGCGGTAGTACACAATACTGCTGGTAATGCGGTACTCCAGTCATGCCGTGCCACCGTGCCCAGTGTAACGAAGTCGCGCACGCGTACTACAGCTACCCCGGACCGATACTGCGCAGTACCGCTCGTGACGCAGCAGCCGCAAGTGCTCCGTACTTCTACTGTCCGCACAACAGTAGCACACTAAGGATAAACCATGCCGGCAGAAACCACGCCCCCGACCGAGCGGGGAGGACCGACAGCTGGCAACTCACACCCAGACGGGCCCCCACTCGGAAGGAATAACGGGGGCCTGGTCGAACGTTACCCCACGAAACGATGAATCACGGCGGAAGCGTTCCACCAGTGGCACCCCCACCCAGTCGACGAGTCCACGGGCCTGCGTACAATGACCAAATGAACCCGTAACAACCAGGGGAGATGCGGGAGACAGGACGAGGAGGCACATTGGGAGGGAGGAGCGGGAGAATGCATGACAAAAATGAGGTGGATCACGGGGCTGCGGATTCAGAACGAGAGCCCAAGACACAAGAGGGCTGGGGAACAACCGTGAGCACATTGGTTGCACACGCACGCACAGACACACGCGCGTACCCTTCCCGATACATCGATATCTCTCGCTCAACCATCGGTAAACAATCAAGGGAGAACGTTACCCCGACCCTCTGGACGGCATGATCCATCCACGTCGAATGGTTAAATCGGATCGAATCGGAATATACATAGGATTGGGCCGCATCGGTACGGAATCGAAATCGTATCGGGTCGGCTGCGACATACATCTACTGGGCCGCATCGGTTCGTCGGACAACCTGCATTAAACCGTTTCGCCTGAACATCGGAACGAATCGATTGCACTGCGCTGCATCTGTGCTTTGGCTCTGCATACCTCCCGCCGTCGTCGTCACAGTCGTTATCCTCGCCATTCCCGGCCAGCGCGCCTGGATATTGGACGTGAGCCAGTCCTGGTACTTTATCTTCTCCAACTGGCGGGATGGACCAAGCCCTAGAGGTCAGAGGTGACAAGAGGGCAGGAGGACGACAAGTTCGGATGAGAATGTTTTGAAGGAGCGCGATCCAGCGTCGCTTGTAGGGGAACGACGAATGACATACACATAATAAAAACTCGGAGGTCCGCGCGGATTTCTCGGATCGGCGCTGGACCCCCCTCCCTGGTGCGCGGAGCGCGCCAAGAGCGGCGCCGGAGGCACCGCCAGGGGAATCTAGCGCGGATCCGAGAAATCCGCGCGGCCCTCCGCGTTTATGTTTGTGTCATTTTTTGTTCCCCTATTCATGCATCCCACCAACCCTCTAAGGCGTGAGCAATTGAGAACAATTCCTTCCAACCCCACTTTGCCCGCTTCGGGGAGGGAGGGCTTACTCCTCCCCGTAGCCCCTCCCCCTGGGTCTGGACGGGGCCTTTCGCGAGGGGTTGGAGCGTCCAGGATGGCCTCGGCGAGGAGGACGAGGCGGAGGTGAAGGGGCAGGACGGGGGCGGGGGGGAGACGTAGAGGTCCCAGGGGGGGGTAAGAGGCTGGCAAAGAGCATGCCAGGACGAGGAGATGAAGGATGAAGGCGGAGGCGCAGGAAAGGGGAAAAGCAGGGATGAAGACGGCGCGAAGAGGGGTGGGGAAGGAGGACCGCGACGGAGCTGAGGGCCTCAGGACGAGGAGGCTGAGGGGCCGAGGCAACTCGAACTCTCCGGCACGGCTGCTCGATTCAAGGACGACGCGCGTGCCCTGGGCTCGCGGGGCAGCGAGGTGACAAAAAAAACACGTGCACGCGCCGGAGGCCGGACTACGCGGAACAGGAGGAGGAGGAGGAGGAGGAGGAGGAGGAGGAGGAGCATCGGGGGCGTCCAAGAGGGGGGCGTCAAAGAGGGGGGGCGCCAATCATGGCCCGCCGCACGTGCGCGGCTCCGGGGGGGGATGTATTGAAAACAGAAAGGGCGTCATGCGCTCTGGGGAGGTATCATGACCCCCGCCATGGTATCACCCCCCCCTGACTCATACTCACACGCCTCGCCTGGAACTGCAAGACGGATGTCCCGCGCAGCGTCAATGGCTCCCACGCACCGTCCCAACCCCCCCTGGTCGTCACAACCCCCTCGTGGCCGCCCCCGGAAACAGCAGGAGGGCGAGCCGGAGAAGCAGCGGGAGCAGGGCCGGGCACGGGCCCTGGCGCAGCACAGGAGGAGGAGGAGGATGAGGAGGAGGAGGAGGAGGAGGAGGAGGAGAGGAGGTGGGAGGAGGAGGAGGAGGGGGAGGAGGAGGAGGAGGAGGAGGAGGATGAGGAGGAGCAGGAGGAGGAGGAGCAGGAGGAGGGGGAGAAGGGGGAGGAGGAGGAGGAGGAGGAGGAGCAGGAGGAGTAGGAGGAGGGGCAGGAGGAGGAAGAGGAGCAGCAGCAGGAGGAGGAGGAGCGCCGCGCGAGGGCGCGGAGGCGAGGAGCGAGCGGCGCGCGAGCGGCCGCGGGCCCCTCTGATGGCGGGGCCTCCTCCAGCTCCCAAGTCGCCGCCGCTCTCGGGCAAGGCGCGCGAGGACTCCTCCTCCCCCTCCTCCCCCTCCTCCCCCTCCTCCTCCCCCTCCTCCTCCTCCTCCTCCGAGGGGAGCGCCGCGCCAGCGGCCGCGGGGCCCCTCTGAGGGCGGGGCCTCCTCCAGCTCCAGGTCGTCGCCGCTCTTGGACAGGGCGCACGTGGAGAACGCCTCGCGGGGGCCGGCAGGCGCCCCCCTCCCGCCCCGGGACCGCCGGCCCCTGGCCTCCACACCACGGGGCCGCCTGCCGCGAAGGCCGGGTCGGGCGAGTCCCCCTGCAGGTGGGCGCTCGGAGGGAAACAATCGACAAAAATCATCAGAATCGTAGTCGACAAAGAAGCGAGGCATCGTCCCCCGGCTATCTCTGAAGGGGCCCCAGGACACACAAAGAAATACACACAAATAAACATATTTCCCATATTTTCCCATATGTTGTAAGTTTCTGTCTTCCCCCCCACTTCCTACATTTTCCCATGTATTTTCTGGGGAGTCGACGATTCATTGGGTCTGTGTGTTTTTCTCCCTCCTGAATCTCTGCCTGTGCCCGAGTGCTCCTCCTGCAGAGGGGCGGGCCCGACCGGACGGGGAGGAGCGCCGCAGCAGACCGGAGGAGCGACAAAAGGGGGGCTCCTCCTGGCCCCGGCGGGCCCCAGCGCCACGGGCAGAGGCGGCTTCCCGTCGCCCCCTGGACGTCCGGCCCTCGCTCGGACGTCGTCCATCCTACAGGGCCGTTTTTTATACGTGGGATTTAAAAATATTGAATATTGGATTTTAATAATGATTAATTCATAAATGAATGTATGCATGAACTCATCGTTGCTGTGGATACTCAATCCCTGCATGTTTTCATACATGATCCGCACGCGGAGCATGTACTAAAAGCGGCACTGTATGTGCACCTCTCGGCGTCGTGCCAGTGTGCTCTTTTTCCTGTGCCAGGGTCCTCGATCTGAGGAGTGGAAGAGAACGCCCCTACCCTGGGATACAGGTGCGTGGTCTGTGAACCTCCTGGGAGCTCCCAAAGGCCAGAGCACCGCCAGGAGGCCGCGCGATACGCAGGGTTTACCCTGTCGGCCAACAGAAGGTTCCGCGCACAGCGCCTCGTAATCCAGGGGAGGGGCGTTTCTTACGCCCTCGATCGATGGTCCTCGATGGCCCTGCTTGATCTATGATGCTCCGCGATGGTCCTCGCCGAGACAGAAATGCACCAGCCCCAGCGATGCCAGGGGGGTCCAGGGATCAGCCCGGAGGCAAGGGCCCCTCCTGAGCCTCACGAGGGGTCCAGCGTCTTGGTCGGAGTTCGGTCGAGCTTGATACCTGGAGAGGACGGGAGAGAGAGGGCGCAGGAGATCTCCTGAGGGCGACCTTGGCACGGGGAAAGCAAAGTTGGCGGCGCGTAGAGGGGGGTAGGGGGAGGGGAGAAGGCTTCTTAGAAGCCCACCTGCGTCCTAGAAGGCGCGTGCCTTCTGTATATACATGGAAGGCCGGCGCCTTCTAAAAAGCAGCCCCCTTCTAAGAAGCCTTCCCCCCTCCCCCTGCCCCCCTCTGCGCGCCGCCAACAAAAGGACACGAGGAACGATGCACCGGTGGGGTCGGCCGGCATCGGCCCCCGAGATCGGAACGAGCCTCAGACTGGGCTGCACGGGTTCGAACTCGGACTCGAATCCGATCAGCCGCGACGGGGACGCACGGCAGCGCCGTGCAAGCGTCGGGCCAGATCGGGTCGTCGGAACATCGGGCTCGATCGGATCGCGCCGGCCGAAGCCGATGTTGAAGCGGGTCGATCGGATCGCAGTGGGCCATGACAATGACAGGGCACGAGGGTGCTTTTGAGAGGGTCGACTGGCCAATCACGCTCGACCGCACTGCTTCATCAGCCGTCGGCATGAATCGGAATCGGACCGCCCTGCCACTATCGGACCGCACTGCCCGTGAGACCGTGGAGCGCGGCGGTAAAACAGTAGGAAGGCAAAGAAAGGCCCTGCTCCCTTCACCCGTCCTCCTCACGGCGCGCCGACTGCTGCAGTGCCGAATCCGACCGACCCAGACCCCCGACGTCATGATTGTTTCAAGACGTCGACCCCCCAGGGGTCTCGACCCACTCCCCGGGACCGGTTCTCTAGGGAGCCCTGTGCCCTCTTAGGAAGCCGCCCCTCTCGCGCTACCCCCAGGACAAGAAGGACTTCACGAGAAGAATGCCCCGGGACATGCTCCACAAATGCCGGAGCACTTGGCGGCCCTTCCTGCTGGAGCCCGCGCGACGAAGCAGGAGCCTGTAAATACTGGGACGGATCCGAATCATGCCTTCTTGCTACAGTGACCCCCGTGGGCGAGCCGCCGACAACTGCCGCTCGCCCCGCGCGGAAGATCGTCGACACCTGACTGCTGTATATGCAATAGCTGGGTCCTGCGGGACACGGGTTCAGAACCCCGGGAGCCTTTCCCAGGACGAGTGCTGCGCATTTTCCTAGGGTGCGGGGCTCAGGGTGAAATCCCGTTGGGCTTTTGCACCTCGAGAACCAATCCTTCCTGTGACTCACTCTTTGCAAATTTAAACATCGAAAATCATCAATCGGATCGGCATTTCAGATTTCACCCTCTGACCCCCACCCAAAGAAAATGCTCGGGAGCGTCTCGAGTTGTCTGCCGCGCTCCCGGAGCCCGCGGGGGGCCTCGAGTGCACGAAGCAGGCCCCGGGACACTCTGGAACCCGCTTCCCCCCGAGGACCCCTGTCTTCCGCGGCGACCCCTGGCGCGTCACCGACCGCTGCCATGCCCGCCTAAGAGATGCCATGCCCGCCTAAGAGATGCGGATCCCAATGCGCACGGCGGCAGTGCCCGGAGCGCACTGGGGGGGGGGAGCGTTACGTCATGGGGGGGGGGTAGCGGGGGCCATGACGCCTGTCATGCCGCAAGCAATAAAGAAACGGGCTCCTGCCATGCCCGCCGAAGAGATGCAATTGCGAGACGAAGGCTGGGGATCTGCTGACCCGGGTTAGTCCAAGCCCGGGCCAGCCAGGCTTCGCAGGATACTGCCTGATGGGCTTGTTTTCAACCACCACCACCACCAGAAGTTGGAGGGGGAGGGGCTCCTCCTCCTCCTCCTCCTCCTGCTCCTTCTCCTCCAGCTCCTGCTCCTGCTCCTCCTCCTCCTCCCCCTCCTCCTCCTCCTCCTCCTCCTCCTCCTCCTCCTCCTCCTCCCTCTCCCTCTCCTACAGATTGTGGTGGTGGATAATGGGCCCACCACTGCAAGATCCGGCAGGACCCTGCGGCCACGCCCGGGACGGTGCGCCCCGCCTCTGGCCCAGCAGGATCCTGAGAGGGCCTGCGCTCGGACAGACCCCCGCTCGCATGGACCCCCGCTCGCGCTGGAACGCGCAAATTAAATACACACAAATAAAAGGATTCCCCACATTTTCCTATGTTTTGTGAGTTCTCGTCATCCCCCCCACTTCCCAGATGGTTTCCACATTTTCTGGGGCATCGACGATTCATTGTGTCTGTGTGCGTTCTTCCCTCCTGACCCTTGAGCCCCAAGGAGGCAGGAAGAGGACAAGTGTCGGGTGTTGCGACGAGTACCCCTGGCCCGAGGTACCCCCAAGATTCTCGGGGTGGCCCAAGCGGCCTCAGGGGGCACCCCTCGCGAGGCCCATGGAGGGCCTTCGGGGCTCCAAAAGGAAACGAAACGCTGGGGGCACCCCCGGCCAGGGGCAGTTCTGGCAGCACCCGACATATCGGACCAGCCGGGAATCTCAGAGACTCGGCGGGTCTCGGAGATGATGCCTCGCGCGCCGCGGCCACTGTGGAGCGCTCCAAAACACTCGAATTAGATGGTTTAGGCCCCGGGAAGCGCGAGGGAAGAGGGCGGGGGGAGGGGCAGGCGGGCCCCACCCCCGCAGCCCGGGGCGTGCGCGGGCCGGCGCGGCGGGCCCCCCCCCGCACACGTCGGGTGTTGCTAGAAGTACCCGACTGGGTAGGAGGAGGAGGAGGAGGAGGAGGAAGAGGAGGAGGAGAAGCACTGTTTTTGAGCTCCTGGGTCCCTCTGGGCCTCGTGAGGGGTGCCCTGGAGGCCGCCTGGGCCGCCCTGAGAGCCCCGGGGGTGCCTTGGGCTCCTTCCAGCAGCACCCGCACACGGGGGGCCCCGGGGGCGCTCCCGGAGGCGGGGGCGGCGGCCGGGGCCTTCGTCTTCAGCTCCCTCTCGAAGTCCTTGAACCTCTGCATGTCGTTCTCGATTCTGGGCGCGGCGCCGCACTCCGCGCCGACGGGGGGGGGGGGGGGGCACCTCCACACCACCGCCACGGCCACCACCACCACCGTGCCTGGCCCAAGGTCAGGAATGCAACTCGGAGAGGTTCCGCCGGAAGAAGCCCGAGGCTGGGCCGGCTTTAGGCCCCAGGCTGGGCCAGATTCAAAGAAACTGGGCTCGGGTAGGACGGCTGTCGAGCGCGGATGCACCCCTGGTGGCTGCTCTAGCCATGCCCTGTCATCTGTGGACCTTCCACCCCTGAAAGAAGCGTTTAGTTTTCCCTTACAGTCCGCCTTCACCCTCTCCTTAATCCTTTCCCCATCCTCATCCTGCTTAGTCTTCGAACTCTCCCACGCCTCCCAATCACATCTGGTTACATTCCTCCTCCTCCTCCTCCTGCTCCTCCTCGCCCTCCTACGTACCTCCCCCACCCTCCAGCACTGCCTCCTCCCTCGCTCCACTCCTCCTTCCCCTGTCACTACACCTCGGCTATCGTCTTCCTCCTTATTATTATTACTAGCATTCGTCATATGTTGATTGTGATGATTAGTCGTGTTCTTCTTCTTCTCCTTACACCACTTCCTGTCAGGCCAACAATAACGCAAGCCTTCTATCATCGACGCCTCGGAAGAAGCCCCCTAAAACCCTCCTCCTCCTCGTCCTCCTCCTTCTCATCATCATCGTCGTCGTCATCATCGTCATCATCACCAACACCATCAACATCGTCATCATCAGCATCAGCAGAATCATCATCAGCAGCGTCATCATCGCCATCAGCAGAATCATCATAATCATCAGCATCATCATCAGCATCAGCATCTGCTTCATGATCATATAAGATCATCATCAGCATCATCATCAGATCCGCATCAGCATCATGATCATTATCGTCATCACCATCAGCATCATCGTCATAAGCATAATCATCATCATCATCATCATCATCATCATCATCATCATCATCATCATCATCATCATCATCATCATCATCATCATCAACATCGTCATCATCAGAAACCCGTGGCGTCCGTGATCCCAGCGGGGGGTACGACATGCCCTGCCTGCTCAAAAGTTGTCGGGACCACCCGACAGCTTTTAGACCATGCGCAGTACAGAGCTCGCAACTGCCGAGATGCGAGTGCCGTTTTCCCTTGTTCGTGCCTTGCCGCACGACGCACGACTTGGCCTATGGCTTCTGTCTATCTCTCATCATCAGCATCAGCATCAGCATCATCATCATCATCATCATCATCATCATCATCATCATCAAAATCATCATCCTCATCACCCTCATCATCATCAGCAGCAGCAGCATCGGCATCATCACAATCGTCACCAACAGCATCATCACTCCCCACCCGTTCCCCCACATCCCGTCGCCATCTCCTCCTCCTCCTCCTCCTTCTCCTCCTTCTCCTCTTCATCCTTGTCGCTACCATCCACGATCACTCGATACAACCATACTCTCGTCTCGCCTGATGCTATGGTTCGCCCGACTATCCAGCACATTGTTCCTCGCACGCAGGATTGTCCCGAGTTGGCTTTCGACTCTACGCATCAAATCAGAACGCCCTCGACCTTTCACAACATAGTGTTCCAGCGGTAGCGTTGGCCACATTTCAGGATCAACGCCCGCAGAAGGGATGGGTGTGTGAAGAGCGCGATGTCTGATATGGCGCGAGCGCAGCTCATCCGCTTGCCAACCGCCCTCTCCCCTCCCCTTCTTCTGTGGCAACTCACGGGAGCCTCCCACACCATCTTGTTGGCTCTTGCGTGTCGACGCTAGTCGGCGCTAAATCGATGGCAAATCGACGCTAACCGACGCTATCTCATCGACTCCCAGGCGCTGATTGACGCTAGTCGACCCTAACGACCGAATGAAGAGGCTCCTCCGCCTCCTCCTCCTCCTCTGCCTCCGAGGGCATACCAGGCTCCCATGATTTGCTACTCCGAACCCTCCCCTCCCGCTGCATCCCCCGCGACGACACGACCTCGCCGCCGTCGGCCAGAGCGCGCGGAGCGCGGCGTCTGGGTCTGCCAAGAGGGGGGCGTCCAAGAGTGGGGCGCAAATCATGGCCAGCGGCATGTGCGCGGCGCAAGGGGGGGCCAGGGTCGTGATGAACAATACGAAGAGGCGCCATGAAATCTGAGGAAACATCATGGCCCACGCCATGATATCCCCCCCCTGGTCATCACCCCCCTCGTGGACGCCCCCGACGGCGGCACAGCGGGGAGATCGGCGGAGCCGGGCTGGGCTCGGCCTTCTTCTGGCGTCCTCGAGCTTGTCCTTTGGGCCCCCGCTCTTCATGTCGCCGTTCTGTATCCACTCTCGGACCTGCACTCGGGGGGGGGAGTGCTAGTAAGGTTAGTTCGGGCCTGTCCCCCTACAGGCGGATTTGGGACGAAAAAATAATATAATATATATATATACTCGAAAATCCAAAATGTTCAAATATAGTGTCTATGTTTGACGATTTCTTGATTATTGTTTGACTATGTTTGCCCGTTTTGTTAACTTTGTTGGACTATTATTTGAATATATCCCTCTTGTGGAGGGACAGGCCCGACTCGGTGCTAGTAAGGTGCCCCCGGCCTGGGGCGTCCCCAGCTGGTCCTCGTCGCTCCACTCTGGAGCTCCCGTGGGGGCCCTCCGGGCCTCGTGAGGGGTGCCTCCTCCTCCTCCTCCTCCTCCTCCTCCTCCTCCCCCTCCTCCTCCTGCCTGCCCCTCCTACTCCGCTTCCTTCTCCCCCCTCCTCCTCCTCCTCCTTCTCCTCCTCCTCATCCTCCTCCTCTTTCTCCTACTCCTCCTCCTCCTCCGCCTCCTCCTCCTCCTCATCCGCCTCCTGCTCCTCCTCCTCTCCTCCTCCTGCTCCTCCTCCTCCTCCTCCTGATCCTCCTCCTCCTCCTCCTCCTCCTCCTCCTCCTCTGGAGGCCGTGGGGGGCCTCCCTGGAACTCCTGGGGGTACCCTGGGCGCGCAGAAATATAAGAACATCATCCGAGCATGCTTCAAACAACGGACAGAAATATGCAAAAAGAGCTCCCCGGACCCTGTTTTGCACCATGTTTGAAGATTTCTCCTGTAGAGGGACGTGCCCGCCCTACTTCTGGCCACACCCGATGGTCCGCGCTGAGAATCAATGCACACGTCCGATCGGTGCCCAGGGGCGGAAGGGGATGGATGGACGGAACGCTGGGGGGAGGGGTGCAGCGTCTCGCAGTTGGCCTCCTGGCGTATCAGGGCTGGGGACATTCGTTTGAACATGTTTGAAGATTCCTCTTTAGGGGAACGAACAATGACATAAACATAAAAACTCGGAGGTCCGCGCGGATTTCTCGGATCGGCGCTGGACCCCCCTCTCTGGCTGGCGCGCGGAGCGCGCCAGAGGTGGCGCCGGAGGCGCCGCCAGGGGGGTCCAGCGCGGATCCGAGCAATCCGCGCGGACCTCCGAGTTTTTATGTTTATGTCATTGTTCGTTCCCCTACTCTGGCCATCGCTCGGTCGTCCTTTCCCTGTGTTTTTATCGGTTTCGTGCGTGGTTTTGTTCGCCAACTGATCAAGGATGCTCCTCGATGGTCCTCGCCCAAGGAAGAATGCACACGTCCGAGCGATGCCAAGTACTCTTGCAGAGGGTCCAGCGCCGATCCTAGAAATCCGTGCGGACCTCCGAGTTGTCATGTTCACGTCACTTTTTGTCCCTCTGATCTTAGAACCAAATATTTTTCGAAAAACAAAAACAACGTTCTTAGAACATGGACCAGGTGTGCTAAAACAAGACAGTCTCAGCCAGAAATGGTCTAAGAACAGTTCGTACAAGCCACGGAAGATGCTTAGACCATTCCTTGGCAAGCCCATACGCAAGCCAGGACGCTTCGCCACTGTTTGACCTGCGGAGGCCGCCTCCAGTCCCAGACCCCCTCGAGCAATGAACAAAAGCATGACGGCAATGTTGTTCAGCCTCTAGGGACCCTTAGCAGAAGCCCTCTGCCTCGGGAGACCAGGGTTTACCTCAGACTACTGTCTCCAGTAGTGACCTCAGATCTACATTTGTTCTGCCTCTGGGGGCCCTTGCCGGGCCACGGGACCGTCCAAAAAAGCGACAAAGGATGAAACACCAGTCCCCCGGGAATGGGTCGACACCCTTGGGGGTCGACGTCACGAACAAATCATGACGTCGGGTGATGGGCATGCTTTCCACCACCACACCCATAAGTTGGATGGGGGGAAGGCGGTGGAGGAGGAGGAGGACCCCCACCCCTCCAACTTATGGTGGTGGTGGTGATGAAACAGGCCCATCAGTCGAGGGTCTGGGGTGGTCCCAGCTGGCCATCAGACCATCGGCCCAGAGCCGATGGTGGACGGTCCTGCCTGGGCCGAGACACGGGCAAGAATCCGAAACCGGGTCGGAACCAGAATCGGTTCCTGCTCGTCGGATTGAATGAGGAGGAGGAGGGCCTGGCTCGGGATGAAGAGCCGGCATCCGAGGTGGCCACATGTGAAATCTGCCCCCAACCCCCACGAGTTCTGAGGGGGGTTGGGGGTTCACTCCCCTCGGGAGCTTAGAGATCGTGGCGGGGGGGTGTCGGGCTCACATGTGGCCAACGATACCGTCGGGGCGCTGACCTAAGGAACCCCAAATGAGGAACGAGGCCCCTTTTTCCCAGAAGCTAAACTTCGACTTCCCGTGGTAACCTAAGGAAAACCAAAGGCAAACTGTAAAACAATCAGTGAGCACCGAGCCCCTCCACAACGAAAAGGGTTCCTTCTTCAGCGCCACGACTGCAGAGTCAGACCGCATGAGAGGGCTGCGCGGCGAGGATGCAGGGTCCACGGAGGGCCACGTCGGCAACTCCCGCACGAGGTTGGCCAGCGAAGGCCGCTGAGGATGGGCCGAAAGGGGCCACGGATGCCAGGGGGGGTCCCTTGGGGAAGGTGCCCCCATCCTTCCTCAACATCCCCTGTTACTCGGCCCCCCCTAAAAAACTGGATCCCCCTTCAAATGCGACCAACTACTCCGGATTTCCTCCTCCTCCTCCTCCGCCTCCTCCTCCTCATCATCATCCCCTTCTTAGTCTTATTATTATTAGTATGCTCATCCTTATGATTCGTCTGAGTAATAGTATTTGTAATATTATCATTCGTATTATTGTCGTCCGTCCTCATATTATCATTCGTCTGCTTCGTCTTCGTCTTCCTATTATTTATATTAGTCGTCGGATTCGCATTATGATTCATATTCGAATTATTGATATTCGAATTCGTATTCGTAGGAGTAGTCGTCTTGAATAATCAATCGTCTTATGCTTAATCGCAGTATCGTTATTATTGCTATTCGTCTCGTTATTACTTTAGTCTTTGTATTGCAATTAGTATTGTTGTTTGTATTCGTTTTCGTCTTCTTATGATTATTATTCGTATTATCCGTCGTCCTCCTCCTCCTCCTCTTCCTCTTCCTCCTCCTCCTCCCCCTCCCCCTCCACCTCCTCCTCCTCCTCTTCGCCCTCCCTCGAGCCCTCCCTTCCCTCCCTGCCTACCCGCTACTTCCCTCAAACATCAGGCCCAGGACCTCTCCAGGGGAGAGCTCGGACCAGAACTTCGGGTCGAATCCAGCCGTGGCGACTGGGGCGCACCTGGAGGCCCTGCAAGGGCGAAGAACTCAAACACAAAAAAAACGCTAAACTCTGACCTCGAGCGCCCTCCCCCCCCAGAGGCCCAGACGGAGCGAGGAGCACAAGAAGGCCTCTTGAGCCTGGAGCCTCGTGCGCCCTCCGTCCTCCCCCGGAGGCTCGGAAGACGTGCAGACGCCCGAGACGCTCCGAACCTCCTGCGCCCTCCTCCCTCGGAGGCCCCGGAGAAGTGGGCACGCCCCACAGCGTCGAGCCTCGTGCGCCCTCCTCCGCTGGAGGCCTGGCAGAGGTGGAGCAGGCTGCAAAACACTTGGAACGCCGAGCGCCCTCCTCCCCCGGAGGCCCACGAGAGCAAGAGAACACGCACCGGAGACCTCGGACCTGGAGCGCCCCCCTCCCGCAGGGGCCGAGAGACCAGGCAGGAAGACGTCCAAAAACCTCTGCCCTCGAACACGGGCATGAACTCCGCATGCCAGCGGCAACAGGTCGCTCACCAGACAGAGGCCGAGAGCCACACCTCCTCTGCCCGCGAGGGCACGACTCTTGGATCCACTGTGAGGCAATATGGAGAGCAACGTCGGTCGGATTTGGCGGTCTCGGGCCCCAGCGGCACGCTGTTCTAGAGGAAAGAGATTTACGCACACACACACACACACCGATTCTGGCCAGGCCCATCCTGAGCCCAGGATCGGTGCACACGCCCTCCTACCTTGGCTAGGAAGGCATATGCACCGGTCCTGGGTCAGGGATGGGCCTTTCCAGGATCGGTGCATGTGCATAGTTCCCTTCGCCCGATCCTGGATCCATTGTGAGGCAAAATCAAGAACAACGTTGGTCGGATTTGGCGGTTGAACAACACGTAAAAGCCGCGCGTGGAATGGGCCGTTCACTAAGATGAACAGTGCAACTACCTGTCTAAGAATTCCCATCCCAATGGGATTGAAATGAACACCCAGAGATCCGATGTCGTCATTGTCTCAATACGGGCCCACCGGAAGTCTCGACCCATTCCTCAGGACCGGTTTTCCACCCTGAGCCGTTGTTTGACAGTCCCGGGGCCCGGCGAGGTCCCCCAGAGGACGAAATCTGCGAAAACTGCAAAAAAATACATGGGATCCCTGGGTAAGGACAGAGGCCGCGATCCAGGGGGGGGGGGGCCACGTTCCCTGCCCGCGGAGGGGAGAGGCGCAGCGAGGCCGCCCCGGGGGACGCGCCTGCGCCCGGAGTCTCTGGAGCTTGTTGATAGACCTGGCCCCGCGGGGGCGCCCGCGCGCGCGCGAGGCGGGGCAGCCGCGCCGCCCGAGCACGCACGGGGCGGCGATGGCCATCAGACGAGCGCGCTCCACGACTCGCAGAGCAGCCATACTCGCCCATGGCATGGATCCGCCGGGGGGGGATTGGCGATCCATGACGCAGAGGAAGACATGTGTTGTGTTTCAGACGCTTGCTGGTAGGCACTTTGCGAGTAGCGGAGCGCGCCCGGTGAGCGCCGCCCGAAGAAGCACGGGGCGGCCACAGCCAGATGAGCGACGAAAAGGATCGGGTCCCACGCAAGATGGCATGGCGACCTTACACTTCGGTGGCAACTCGTGGGAGCCTCCCATTCCATCTTGTCGGCTCTTGCGAATCGGCGCTAGTCGACGCCAAATGGACGCACATCGACGCTTTATCGACCCTAGATCGACGATGCATCGACGCGAATCGACGCTAGATGATCGACTCCAAAACGCTAACCGACGCTAAAGACGGAGTTAAGAGGGTACAACAGGCTCCCATGATTCGCCACCGTACCTTACGCCGCCGCCCACGCGGACCACAACCAGCACGGCACACGGCCTGGAGAGCAGGGCGCTCCTCCGCGCGACCCCTGCGCGGGAAGCTTGCGCACGGAGGTCCGCGCGCAGATGCACCCGACTTTCTTCGCCGCTCGTGTATACACACACCGCCCCTGGCCAGGCCCGTCCTTCGGGGACGCGCAAGTGTGGATTAGCGATCCATGGAGTTGGCGCGCGGTCGCGGTCGCCAAACCCATGGATCGGGGGAGGTGCCCTCCCCAGGATGCGGCCGGTGCCGCGTCGCTCGGTGGCGGAAATCCGCGATGCCCCATGGAAGCGGGACCCGTCGCTCATGCACGCCCCCTTGATGCATATTTGCGATCGCCCGAATCCTGGGGCCAGGATCGATTTGACTACACCCGGGCCCAGGCGTCGAGAGGAAGTGTGTGTATATATATATACACATACACATACATATCGTATACCAAAGATAAACCCAATCAGAGGATGGTTTGAACATTAGTAATAGGGATGTTGAGATCGACTGTAAAATCGATAGTGGAATTGATAGTGAGGACGATTGTAAGGTTGATCGTGAGACCAGTAGTGAAGTCGATGAAATGAGATCGATGGTGAGATCGATCGTGAAATCGCTCGTGCGATCTATAGTGAAATCGATTGTGAGGTCGATCGTGAGATCGATTGTGAGATCGACCGTGAGAACGTTTGAGATGTTGTTAGTGAGATCGGTGGTGAGATCGATCGACAAGAAGATCGACCGGGAACCTGGGAACCTGGGAACCTCGCCGCTCACCGAAATCGGCGGGAACCCAGAACCGGGAACACGAGAACCCAACGTGCGAGCAAAATCGGCGGGAAACTTTCGCCTAACCTTTCAACCCAGAACCCACCGCACTCGGCCCAGAACTAATAAACGGGAACCAGGGAACCCGGGAACCCGGAACGGGGAACCTCAGCGGGAACCTTTTGCCACATCTTTAAACTTCCGCTAAGACCCCTTCAGAGCAATGAAAGATTGGGGAACTTCCGCTATGGCCCCTTCAGTGCAAGCACTGATTGAGAGGACTGGTTGTTGTCGTTGTTGCTGCTGCTGTTGTTGGTGTTGTTGCTGTTGTTGGTGGTGCTGTAGCTGTTGTAGACCAGGGGCCAAGAGTACAGTCTGAGCCCCAACACTTCCCATTGTAAAAAATATGCGAACCCGTGAAGGGTACTTGAGAGAATGGAGCCCCCAATCAATGTATAATATAAACATTAACCATATGGATCTTGAGATCGATTGTGAGATCGATAATGAGATCGATATGGGAATCGATAGAGGGAGATTGTAAGGTCGATCGTGAGACCGAGAGTGAAACCGATTCAATGAGATCGATAGGGAGATCGATCGCGGGATCGCTCGTGCGATCTCTAGTGAGACCGCTTGCGAGGTCAATTGTGAGATCGACTGTGAGGTCGATAGTGAGATCGATGGAGAGGTGGGAAATGAGATCGATGCTGAGACCGAAAAATAAGAAGATCGACCAGGAACACGGGAACCTGGGAACCTCGCCGCCCACCGAAATCGGCCCTGGAACCGAGAACCTGGGAACCCGGAACCAGGAACCCGGGAACCCAGCGTGCGACCAAACTCGGCGGGAAACTTTCGCCAAATCCTTCAACCTCCGCTAGGACCCCTTCAGTGCAAGCACTGATTGGGGAATGTACATAAGTATATATAGATGTACAAGTATGTACATACATATATATATATATATATATATGTATATGTATAGAGAGAGAGAGAGAGAGAGGACTCGCGCCCATCGCGGGCCCAGGGAGGGGCCTGGCCCCGGGGCGGCGTGTGTGTTTGTGGTATCTGGATCGCGTCGCCCGTGCAAAGGCCAGCTCTCGTCGCGACGAGCCCTGCCTCTGGCTAGCGAGGCAGGAATAGAAGAAGAAAGAAGACAAAACGCGGCCACAAACATATAACGGTTGGGCGCTCCGCGCAGATCTCTTGGATCTGCGCTGGACCGCCCTCCCTAAGGCGCGCGGAGCGCGCCAGGGACGGCGCCGAAGGCGCCGCCAGGGGGGCCCAAGCGCGGATCCAGGAAATCCGCGCGGAACGCCAACAGTTTATGGTGATGGCGTTGTTGTCTCTTCGAATGAGGTTGTCCAAAAGTCCGAGTGTCTTTCTGGCATCTCCTAGTCGTCACTGTCACCTCGTGGTACGCTTCCTCCTTTGCGAGCAAGAAGGCTGGGTCCTTTCGTGGCCACGTCTTTGGCGTTGGCGAGGCATTCGAAAGCAATCGATGGACATTCGGCGGCATTCGGAAGGGCGATCCTGTCGTGTTGGCGTCTGCGCTGGCACTCGCATCTCAAAATAAGTCTGGGCCACTGGAAAAAAACACTCACCGACTGTGTCCGCCTCGAAGCACGCACCCCAAAGGAGGTCCGGGGATCGGTACATGACCCCCCAACCGCGATACTCTCGCGTCGTGACGACTCTCACGCTGGGTTCTGACGCTGCATGGACCATTCAACCTTGAACGGTCGCGTCGTTCGGGCAGCGCCCATCGTCAGAAGATCGGCTGACTTCAAGCCACTGGCAACGCTCAACCTTGAACGCCCGCGCCGGAGTCACCACCGAATCGACGCGGTGCGAAACTGCTGCAAGTGTGAGGGCCGAGGAACCAGATCGGGAAAGGAAGTCTTGGAAGGTCAGGAGGGGGGTGTATTTCCCCCTCCTCGGCCTCGCACGCATTGCATCCTTGGAAATTGTCCTCACCTTCTTTGCGTGCCCGCCCGCGCTTCCGCGCCGTGCTATCTTCCTGTGCGGCGGCCTCGTGTAGAGGTGGGAGGGAGGCAGGCAGGAGGACGGTGGTCGACTCAGGCCCGGGTGCTCGGTCCCACTCTTCCCGAGTTGTTAGTGCTCCTTCCCCCCTGATTCAGCCCAGGGCTGGACCTAGAAGTTGCCTTTCGTGAAGTTGTCGTTTGTGCTTCGTCTTGCTCTGCCTGTTTTTTCCTGTGCCTCCCTGCCAAGACGAAAAACGAGACACAGCCGAAGCCCAGCAAAGCGGCGTTGAGATCCAGCCCTGATTCGGCCCCTGGGTGGCAGCCGAGCCCGCCTGCCGGGCGCCCTAGGCCGTGTTGCCACGTCGGAGGTGAGGCTAGGGTTCTGTTGCTCCCATCGTACTTAAGGACCACCTCCCATATATACATATATATATATATATACATATATATATGTGTGTATTTAACTTCCAACACCTGGAAAAGTGATGAAAGAGTGTCGAAACAGTATCGAAACAGTGTCGGACGAGCGTCTCCCCGGGCCCGAGACACGTGAACACCCTCTGGTTTCGGTACGTTTCTGGTGCTCGAAGCTCTTCCTGGTGATGAAAAAGCTAAAGGTGGGCTGCAACATCAGGGGGTGCGAGGCCGCAAGGGGGGACGGAGGGCCCCCCCCAGGAGGAGGAGGAGGAGGAGGAGGAGGAGGAGGACCTGGAAGAAGACCAGAGTCGGTCTCGCGCTCGTGCTCGCGCTCGTGCGGGGCGAGGCGGGGCAGCGGCGCGCGAGGGGCAGACGACCCCGCCGCCGCTGGGAGAGGCGGTCCGGACGCAACAGTCCGGCCCTCGGGTGGGCGCGCGACAGCCCAGGGGTGTCCCGCCGCGGTGCCCCGCGGTGTCCCGCACGAGTGTCCAGATGGCGTCTCGTGGTGTCGCGCGGTGTCCCGCGGTGGTGCCCCGGTGGTGTCCTGGTGGTGTCCCGTGGCGTCCAGTGGTGTCCCGCGGTGCGTCGCTGTGTGCCACCGTGGTGTCTCGATGGTATCCCGATCGATAGTGGGATCGGTCGAGAGATCGATGACTACCGAGATGTGGTAAGATCGGTAGTGAGATCGATAGTTGGATCGATAGTGAAGTCGATAGTGAGATCGGTAGATGCATCGAACGTGCGAGCGGCAACGAGGTCGATAGTGAGATCGATAGTTGCATCGATGGTGCAATCGATAGTGAAGTCGATAGTGCGATTTGTAGATGCATCGATCGTGCGAGCGGCAGTGAGATCGATAGTTAGATCAACAGTTGCATCGATCGCGCAATCCACAGTGAGGCCGATAGTGCGATCGATTGCGAGAGCGATAACTAGTGAGATCGATAGCGAGATCGATTGTGAGCTTGATCGTGAGGACGCTTGAGATCACACCAATCGCAGCTGCCAGCAGTTGTGTGTTTCCCCTCTCCCCAACCTCCTATCCCCCGAAAGGTGGCCGTATAGGTGCCCCGCACCTCCCCGTCGGTCAGGGTAATGCACCTTTCTTTCGTGGAAGGCCGACCGGATCCGATCCTCCTCCTCCTCCGTCTCCTCCTCCTCCTCCTCCTGCACTCCCTCCCTCCTGCGAGAAGCTGCAGCGGGGGGTGGGCCTCTTCAGATCCTCCCCCAACTTCTCCCTCTGGGCGCCGCTCGCGTTGTTGGCCTGCTCCCAGACCGACGCAAACTCCTCGATGCCGTCGTCCACCTCCGCCAGGGGCCCCGAAGGCTCGAGGATCGAGGCCAGGAGGTCGAGGCCCCGAAGGTCGACTCCTCCTCGAGGCCCCGAAGGCTCGAGGATCGAGGCCGGGAGGTCGAGGCTCGAGGCTCGAGGCTCGGGGCTCGGGGCTCGAGGACCGAGGCGCGAGGCTCGATGCTCGAGGATCGAGGTTCGAAGATCGAGGCTCGAGGATCGAGGCGCGAGGCTCGAGGACCGAGATTCGAAGATCGAAGCTCGAGGCTCCGAAGCATCAGCAGGACTCTGTGGGGACGTTCTGCGCGTCCAGGAGGCTGCAGGTCGCCACGTGCGGACCCTCAGCGAGAGTCTGGCCTGGAGGCATTCCGAGGCCCGTGATCCTCCTCCTCCTCCTCCTCCTCCTCCTCCTCCTCCTCCTCCTCCTACTCCTACTTCGCCTCCTCCTCCTCCTCCTCCTCCTCCTCCTCCTCCTCCTCCTCCTCCTCCTCCTATTCCTCCTCTGGGCGCGCCGAAAGGCGGGGTAGTGAAGAGGGGAGGGGGGGGGGGCAGTCGCCATGCTGTAGGAAGCGGGGGCCATGAAACCCGCCCTGGGTCCGCCCCTCCTCTTCGAAGCCCCCGACCGAGTCTTCTGGCCGCTCCTGATCCCCGATGCTCTGACCCCTGGCCATTGGACAAGGACCGAAAGTCCTGGTATTCCTGTAGGCCTACCACGAATCCCACCAGCCCTCTGGACGTCGGTGGTCTTGGGAGTTTCCTCTTCCAACCCCCTTCTTCCCCTTCGGGGAGGAGTTTACCCCTCCCCATATCCCCTCCCCTGGATTTGGACGGAGGGTTCCGCGGGTCGTTGGGGCGTCCAAGATGGCCCAAGACGGCTCCAAGAGCGAAAAGGCGAGAAAGCACAACACATTGATATTCCCAGGGTTTTGGAAGGATTTTGGCCTCTTGGGTGGCCCAAGAGGCTAATTTACTACCCCCCCTTCTTTGATCGATCTCCTCCAAGATGGCCCCTAAAGCGGCCCGAAGGATCCCAAGAGCGACCCAAGAGAGCCCCCCAACCCCCCAAAAGGCGCCCAAGAGGTCTCCAAGAAACTCCCAAGAGATCCCCAAGAAGCCCCAAGAGGCTCCCCGAGATACGCGACAGGGTCCCGGGACCGCCAAGAGGCCCCAACGACGGCCCAAGGGGCCCCCAAGCTCGCCATTGTCCTCCTCCTTCTTCTTCTTTTTCTTCTTCTTCTTCTTATTATTATTATTATTCTTATTATTCTTATTCTTCTTCTTATTATTATTATTATTCTTATTATTATTCTTATTATTCTTCTTATTATTCTTCTTCTGCTTCTGCTTCTGTTTCTGCTTCTGCTTCTTCTTATTCTTCTTATTCTGCTTATGCTTCTGCTTCTGCTTCTTCTTCTTCTTCTTATCATTATTCTTCTTCTTCGTATTATTATTTTTCTTCTTATTCTTCTTCTTCTTCTGCTTATTCTTATTATTATTCTTCTTCTGCTTCTTCTTCTTCTTCTGCTTCTTCTGCTTCTTCTGCTTCTTCTGCTTCCTCCTCCTCCTCCTCCTCCTCCTCCCTCCTCCCTCCTC